ATGGTTTTATTGTCCTGAAAGATAAGTAGCTTTGTAAATAACCTAGAAAGCCCATAAATATATTTTTTAAACATGTGTACAAATATCCAGAATTTCAAAATGGTCTTTTAACCACCTTTCTCATCTTCTTGAGTCCCTTAGTGAAGAGTTATAAATCTTTGCTATGTGTTCAGTCTAGTGAATTAATAGTTTTTTTTTTTTTTTTTTTTTTTTTTAATTGAGGCAGAGTCTCACTCTGTTGCCCAGGCTGGAGTGCAGTGGTGTGACCTTGGCTAACTGCAACCTCCACCTCCTGGGGTCAAGTAATTCTCCTCCTCAGCCTCCTGAGTAGTTGGGATTAGAGGTACCGGCCACCACGCCGAGCTGATTTTTGTATTTTTAAGTAGAGATGGGGTTTCACCTTGTTGGCCAGGCTGGTCTTGAACTTCTGACCTCAAGGGATCTGCCTGTCTCAGCCTCCTAAAGTGCTGGGATTACAGGCGTGAGCCACCGCAACCAGTTTAAAAAATATTTTAGAAGGCTTGACAGATTTCATTTTCAACTAATAATATACATACAAATTATTGTCTGACTTTTCAAAAATTATACTTTGATGCAGCCAAGTTCTTGATATATTACAGACATATAGGTTGGCTTTTACTGCCCTTCTTCTTTAAACTAACAGCATAGTATTTTCCTTAAAATTCAGCTATGGCATAATCTAATATTGTTCTGAAAGTCACTTTATAATCCAGAATTCACAAACAGTACACGGAGATAAATATAACCAGACGTTTATAGATTGCTATTATCTATTGTTTGCAAGGATGTGAACATAGATAACATAGTTTTATGTTAATGTAGGCTATTTATTTCATGCTGATTTGAGCAGCTAATCATTAATGTTCTCAGCAAGCCTTGAAGTTAAGCCAATATTTGTCTGGCTCTAATGGAAAGACATAGACTTACCAATAACTTAAGTGCAAGCATTTCCCTAAAATTTTCATTTTTTACGTCATGGGGTAGTATTTCCAATTTAAGTGCAATGAACGAGAATCTTAAAATTTTAGTATTCCTGACAGATGCAAAGCAGTGGAAGAGCAAATGACTCCACAGAGGTATTAACTTATAAATAAAAGTTCTTACCTACAAATCAAACTTAGTTCTCTTCAACTGCTAGTGGATGACTGATTTTTGTGGGCTCCCCAGAGTGGGAATCAATAACTAAGTCATCTATACTGTATACAACCCTCAGACTATTTGAGCGAAGTAATTCATTGATAACTATATAGGAGCATCTACTTACTATATATCAGCTACTCTATTTGGCACTGGGACACAGCAGTGAATACATGACAAAATTCCTTCCTTCATGAGGTTTCTCTATTAGTTGGAGGAGCCCAGTGACTGGAGAAAGGTAGTTGGAGATGAGCACAGAGAAATAACCAGGGCTACATAACGAAGGACGTTAGAAGAACTTTGGCTTAAAATGTAAAGACATTGGAGGGTTCTAAGTGGAAGAATAATATAAAAATTGCATTTTAAAAAGTCAGACAGACAACTCTGCTGTTGTATTGAGGATAGACTGAGGTGAATGTCGCCTCCAGGGGAACTGTAGAAAGGAAGCTATTATAATAATTAAAGCAAGAGATGACAGGGTTTGGGCCAATGCATTTACTAAAAGCAGTGGAAACTTGGGTTCATGATATAACAGGTCAGAGTGTGAGATAAAAAATGAAAAAAAGGATATCTCCATTTTATTTTTATTTTTTGCCTTAGCAAGTGTAAGAATGGAATTGCTATTAACTGAGATAAGCAAGACTGTGCAGGGACTGGAAAATAATATCACAGTTAAATTTTGGATCTGGTGAGTTTGAGAGGATGTCTAATAGGAGATCATGAGGCGATGACTAGTAGGTTGCCCTAGATAAGCATCTAAGTCTGGAGTTTGGAAGAGATTTCAGAGCTGGGTATACAAATTAGGAAGTCTTGGGTGTGAAGATGACGTTTAAAGCAATAAGAATTAATGACATTAGGAGGCTGAGGTGGGAGAATCCAAACCAGGAGTTTGAGACTACAGTGGGTCATGACTGTGTCACTGCACTCCAGCCTAGGCAAGAAAGCAAGAGCCTGTCTCTAAAAAATAAATAAATAAATAAAAGGATGCGATTACCAAGAGAGTGTATACAGATAGGAAAGAGATCGGGCCAAGGACTAAGTCCTGGGGCACTTCTACCTTTCTACTCACATATCCTCAGTAAATTCAGGTATCTAATTTATTTAATCCAGTATTTGCTGCCTTTATTTTTCTAAACAGCACATTTCTTTTCATAGATTACACGTTCAAATTCCAGGGAACTTAAGTTATGCAAAACATCCTTTGGGAAATGATTTAATTTCATTGCCTCATTTTTCCACTTAATGTTGCTTATGTAAACAGAGCTATTAAATACTTACTTGTCTTTATTTCAATAGTTTTCAAAGTGAAATTCGAAAGGTGATAGGATAATCCATTCGATAAAACTGGCAATAGCATTAAATCCTACCCTCCCCTTTTATTAATTTTTAATTATAGTCATCAAATTTTGATCAGAAACAAAGAAGAAATTTCAAGTCATTTGTTTTCTTTCCTTGAAAATATTTAAACAAAAATTTAGAAATTTGTTTTAACATGCTAAAAGAGAGACCTTTCCCTCTAGTTGGAACTATAAATTCTCCAAGCCTGATGATCTTTAAAGACATTTATTATTTCTGTTAGTTGGAGATCTTCTCCCTTGATATACTTGTGTGTCTCAGATAAGCATCTTAAAGTGTATTGAAAAAATTGAAAAATGAACATCCAAATATTGATTTCGATATACCATAAACATACTAAGTAAATGTTGATTGTTTCAGCCTGTGCCACCTTGCATATGTGAATACAAAGGTCATACATACACTCTTTTTTTTCCCCAGAAATGAACACTATCACTAACCATCTGGCATTCTGTGAGTCCTGAAATAAAATCTATTTCTAGGAACAATTTAAACTGTAGGAGAACGTCACTGTGTTGTGAATTAAACTTTCCTATTTTTTTTTTCTTTGGATGATAATCTCCTGAGAAAGTGCCACATTTATATTTGAATAACTTCAGCTCTGGTTGCTATCTTATTCTCTATTTTTTTGAGTAAAAATCTTTGATTTTTAACTGTTACTTCCCCACCCATCATAACAGTCATCCTTTAGTAAAATATATGCTACATCCAGGTAATTCTTATTTCTATGAAGGATGCAAACAGTTGCAATCTCTGGCCTTAGAGGGACATGGTGGTCAAAATTAGTAAGCATATTCTTGTTCATTCATCTCACGTTAGCTTTACCTGAGACTGGGGCATCTCTTTAAGCTTGGGTATTAACAGAAAGCACAACATTATAAGCACTCATAGATCTAACTTTCACAGACTAAATCCAAAGCCTGATGATTGGATTCTGATCCATGTTGTAACAAGGGCATTTCAAATTACGCAACTTTCATTTGTTGTTTTAGCACTTTCTCATGCTTCTGGGAGAGTGTAGATTTCTGTAGAATCCAGGAAGGTGCCAAAATTCATTCCTCACTGGGAAATGCATGGCAGATGAACATTCAGGCCGGAGTTCAGGAAGCCCTATGCTGGTTTGGTCCATCAGCTATTAAAATGAACAAAAGAAAAATGTGTGAGCAGAACTCACTGAATCAACTTCTATAAAGGGTGACTTGCTTGATAGATCACTCCTGGGAACAGAAACTTGGCTGCAAATGCTAGATATCATTTGCTTAATCCTCTTATTCACTACAGAAATAATGAAAACCAAGCTGACAAAGGCACGATAACAAAAAAGAATGGTTGCACATGACTACAACTATGACGTAGAAGTAGAACTAGACTCTGTTGGCCAAAGAGTCAAATTCATTTTTCATATTTATCAGAAAGCAGGCATATTCAACTGAGGGCAAGTACAAGGTGTTGCGGAGTGCCATTTGAATAAGTGATGTTAACATTAAATGCCCAGTGAAAATTTTAGTTTCCCAGCTTATAAAATTATAACAATAATAATAATTATCTCCAATCATAATAATTATAATGCCTGACTAAACATTGCATGGTCAGAAGACAACTGAGTAAGGTTATACCTGTGAAAATGATTGCACATTGCTGAGTTTGATATATAAATGCCAATTAAATGCTGCAAAAATAAGGGCTTCTAAATACATTCTGTCTTACATAATTCAACTTTTCCTTCTCCATTAGCACCAATAAGGTAGAATAGTGCAGGGAAGCATTACAATGAGGCTTCTCACTTAGGTGAGAGGAGGTAGGAGCTCCTTTAGGGAAGGACTACAAGTTTTTAAAGGATGTGGAAATGGGATGTGTTTTCTGTTGTCTTGAAATGGGGGAAAAGCCTCAAAGCTAACACTAGAAGGAAGATACTCCTATGGTCCACTGAAACCAACCCAATAATCCCATAAACCGTTCTTTTTGATAAACAAAGAAATTGACCTTTCTGGTCTTAAAGCTTGAAGCTTCCATTTGTTTTACTTGAGTTACTTCCTCAGGAAATGACCTTCACGCCTCTTTAAAAAGTATCTAAGAACTGAAACTCACCAGATTGTGACATCCTGACAGTGAGAAGCCTGGAGCCCTCATTCATCATAATTGCATCCTTGCCCTTCCCTAGTTCTTGTTTTCTTACACATTGTTATGTTTCTTCCCTGCTATATAAACCCATAGGTTTAGTTGGGTCAGAGAGATGAATTTGAGACTGAGCACCCATCTCCTTGGCTGCAGAACCTGATTAAAGACTTCTTTCTTGGCAATACTCATTGTCTCAGTGACTGGCTTTCTGTGTGTTAAGCATCAGGACCTAGACTAAACCCCTGGTGTTTTGGTGACACCATAGAGAAACTGCTAGAAGTCCTATCCCTACGGGGCTCTTTAAAAGGTGAATAGGACAGCCCACCTACTCACAGGCTCTATTCCATCCAAATTAAGGAATTCAACAATCAAATATCTGAAGACCTTGTTTTTAAAGTAGGCATCATTACCCTTGGGGTGAAGCCCTGAGGAATACCCATTTCTAATTTCTGTGAGAAAAAGACAAAAGATAATCTCTGCAAAGCCAACTCATGGATGATCAGGATTATCATTTATAAAGATTGAGGGTGCATATGAGAGGAGGAAACCAGCAGTCTTGCTCGAGATGAATGATTGCTGAGCTACAGAACTGCAGGGCCTTCCTGTGGGGCTCCTTAGTACAAGGTGGTTCAGGAGCTCCTTGTAGAGGAGTGGTTTCATGTATGTCCCCAAGAGGTTTTAGGGACGTGCATTTGATCATAGAGCATGCTGCCTACTTTGTATCTAGAGATGAAAAAATGAGTGGCTCACAATGTGAAGGAAAGGAGAAAGGAAAATGGGGGTCTTCTGTACTCACGCCATTTGGTGAGCTGTATAGAGGGTTCTGTAAACACCGTGAATTAATAAAATAGATGAGATCCAGTTGTCTTGTGTGTAATCCCACCAATGGTAAGATGTCTCTTCTCAGATCTATAAGAGGTAGTGGGCTGAGGGAAGGACTTAGGGTAAGTTGCTGGACTTTGGTTCTCAGAGGACTGTGCTGAATGAGGCCTCTGTCTAGGAGAGAGAATAATGTGCAAAAGTGTCCTCCACAAGCCAGTCACGATTTGGTCATCAGCCACACAGAGGATGTTATGGCCAATTACAGTAGTGTCTCTTACCTGAGCTTTTTGCCCCTGTTTCTTCCATTTCTCCTCTGGACACCAACACCTTGGAGATAAAAGGCAGATCAAGAAGCGATGGAGTGTGATTGAGACAAGGTACAGAAAGAGAGAAACAAGAGACAATGTTCTCTTCCCTAGATCCTACAGGGCAGACTTTTGTTGAAAACAGCAAAGAAATTTCGAATTGGATGTGAGATTAGAGTGCTAATTTAGAATCAATGATGCTTGCTTTCTTTTTGAAATTTAAAGCAATTAAAAAGAATCTCACAATCAAAAAAATTATTAAAGTTTTACATACATGTAGAATGTGCATAGATATTAAATAAATATTTCTATGGAGTATCACAAAATGAATGTGTCTATGTAACCAACATCAATGTCAGAAAATATTACATTTCCAGGACCCAGAAGGTTATTGTACTCCTTCCCCTCAAACCAAGGGAAGCCAATTTCCTGATTTCTTACACATGGACAAAAGTTTTCCTTTATATAAATGGAATAACAATACAGCATATACAGATGTGTGTGTGTGTGTGTGTGTGTGTGTGTGTGTGTGTGTGTGTGTGTATATACACATTGTACATATATATGGCACCTGCCTTTAAAAAAAACTGCTTGGTATGTTTGTGAGACTCATACCTATTGCTTGCATATAGCAGCATTTTGTTCATTTTCTTTGCTGATTAATCTATTGTGTAAATACGTCACACTGTATGTATCCATTCTATTATTTATCGGCATTGACCTTGTCTCTAAAGGTTATCACAGAAATTCTGCTGTAAGCATTCCTATACATATCTTTTAGTGCATACAAATATATATATCAGTTAATTTTACAGCATTTAGAATGAAATTTTGTGTCATAAATTATATGGGTGTATATATTCAACTTCAGAATATGTTGCAAAATATTTTTCCAAAGTACTTGCCCAATTCTCCTCACTCAAGTAGTGTATAAGAGTTCTAATTGCTCCACACCCTTGCCTATAGATATGGTTTGGTTGTATCCCCACCCAAATCTCATCTGGAATTGCAACTCCCACAAATCCCATACGTCATGGGAGAAACCCAGTAAGAGGTGATTGAATTATGGGGGCAGGTCTTACCTGTGCTGCCTTAGTCATAGTGAATGAGTCTCACCAGATCTGATTGATGGCTTTAAAAGTGGGAGTTTGCCTGCACCAACTCCCTTCTCTTGTCTGCTGCCATGTGAGATGTGCCTTTCATCATCCACCATGATTGTGAGGCCTCCCCAGCCATGTGGTACTGTAAGTCCAATAAACCTCTTTCTTTTGTAAATTGCCCAGTCTTGGGTATGTCTTTATCACCAACATGAAAAAGAACTAATTCAGTTAATTGGTACCAGTAACGTGGGACACTGCTGACAGATACCTGAAAATGTGAAAGCAACCGTGGAACTGGGTAGCAGGCAGGGGTTGAAACAGTTTGGAGGGCTCAGAAGAAAATAGGAAAAGGTGCAAAAATTTGGAATTTCCTAGAGACTAGTTGAATGGCTTTGACCAGCATGATGATAGTGAAATGGACAATAAAGTACAGGCTGAGGTGATCTCAGATGAAAATGAGGAACTTGTTGAAAATTGGAGTACAGGTGACTCTTGTCATGTTTTAGCAAAGAGACTGGCAGCATTTTGCCGTTGCCCTAGAGATTTGTGGAAATTTGAACGTGAGAGAGACAATTTAGGGTATCTGGCAGAAGACATTTCTAAGCAACCAAGCATTTAAGAGTTGCCTCGGGGCCAGGCGCAGTGGCTCAAGCCTGTAATCCCAGCACTTTGGGAGGCCGAGGCGGGTGGATCACGAGGTCAAGAGATCGAGACCATCCTGGTCAACATGGTGAAACCCCGTCTCTACTAAAAATACAAAAAATTAGCTGGGCATGGTGGCGGTGCCTGTAATCCCAGCTACTCAGGAGGCTGAGGCAGGAGAATTGCCTGAACCCAGGAGGCGGAGGTTGCGGTGAGCCGAGATCGCGCCATTGCACTCCAGCCTGGGTGACAAGAGCGAAACTCCGTCTCAAAAAAAAAAAAAAAAAAAAAAAAAGAGTTGCCTCAGGTGCTGTTAAAGGCATTCAGTTTTATAAGGGACACAGAGCATAAAAGTTCAGAAAATTTGCAGCATGACACTATGATAGAAAAGAAAATGCCATTTGCTAAGGAGAAATTCAAGCTGGCTGTAGAAATTTGCATAGGTAATGATGAGCTGAATGTTAAGCCCCAAGACAACCAGGGAAATGTCTCCAGGGTGTCTGAGACCTTTGTGGCAGCCCCTCCCATCACAGGTCGAGAGGCCTAAGAGGAAAAGACCATGGCATCAGGGGTGCCAGCCTCAAGCCATGGCAGCTTCCACATGGTATTGAGCCTGCGAATGCACAGAAGTCAATAACTGAGGTTTGGGAACCTCTGGCTAGATGTCAGAAGATGTAGGGAAACATCTGGGTGCCCAAGCAGAGGTTTGCTGTAGGGATAGGGTCCTCATGGAGAACCTCCGCTAGGGCAGTGCAGAAGGGAAATGTGCAGTGGGCGCTCCCACACAGAGTTCCTACTGGGCCACCACCTATCGGAGCTGTGAGAAGAGGGTCACTGTCCTCCACGTACTGGAATGGTAGACTCACTCTCAGCTTGCACTGTGCACCTGGAAAAGCCAGAGACACGTCACACCAGCCCATGAGGGCAGCTGGGAGGGAGGCTGTACCTTGCACAGCCAAAGGGACAGGACTGCCCAAGTCCATAGGAACCCCCCTCTTGCATCAGTCTGACTGGTACGTGAGACATGGAGACAAAGGGGATCATTTTGAAGCTTTACAGTTTGACTATTGCGCTGGATTTCAGACTTGCATGGGGTCTGTGCCCCCTTGTTTTGGCCAATTTCTCCCATTTGGAACTCCTGTATTAACCCAATGCCTGTACCCCATTGTATCTGGGAAATAACTAACTTGCATTTGATTTGACAGCCTCATAGGCAGAAGGGACTTGCTTTGTTTCAGATGAGATGTTGGACTGTAGACTTTTGAGTTAATGCTGAAATGAGTTAAAACTTTGGGGGAGTGTTGGGAAGGCATGATTGGTTTTGAAATATGAGGACATGAGATTTGGGAGGGGCCAGAGGTGGAATGGTATGGTTTGGCTGTGTCACCACCCAAATCTCATCCTGAATTCCCATGTGTTGTGGGAGGGACCCAGTGAGAGGTAACGGAATCACGGAGATAGGTCTTTTTCATGCTTTTTTTTTTTACCGACAGTGAATGAGTCTCATGAGAGCTGATGGTTTTTAAAAACAAGAGTTTCCCTGCACAAGTTCTTTTCTGGCCTTCTGCCATCCACTTAAGATATGATTTACTCCTCCTTGCCTTCCACCATGATTATGGGGTCTCCCAAGCCATGTGGAACTGTAAGTATAGTAAATCTCTTTCTTTTGTAAATTGCCCAGTCTCAGTTATGTCTTAATTGGCAGCATGAAAACCAATGAATAATCCTATGCTGCTGGTTGTCTATCTTTTTATTTTAGCTATTTTGGTGGTTGTGCAACAGAATTCCATTGCGCATCTTACTGCATATTTCTCGGATTACTTACTTCATGTTTTGTCATTTAGAGATTTTCTTGTATGAAATCCCTGTTTCCTTCCTTTTTCTTTCCTTCTCTTCCTCCCTTCTTTCCTCCCTTTCTTTGAAACAGGGTCTTGCTCTGTCACCCACGCTGGAATGCAGTAGAAGAAACACTGCAGCCTCAAATTTCTGGGCTCAAGGGACCACAGGTGTGTACCACCACACCTAGCTAATTTTTAAAATTTTTCGTAGAGTCAGGGTTTCGCAACGTTGTCCATGCTGGTCTCAAACTCCTGGGCTCAAGAGTTTCTCCCACTTTGGCCGACCAGTGTTGGAATTACAGAAGTGAGCCACCATGCCCAGCCTCCTGTTATTTTCCATTGGATTTTATGCCTATTTCTTATTTGCATGAGTTCTTTATGTATCATTAATACAAACCATTTTCTTGCTTACATGGGTAGCAAATATTTTCTCTCTAAACTCTCTGTCTACCTTTTCACTCTCCTAATGATGTTTTTCGATGGAAGTTTGTAGTTTGAATGTTCAAATAGAACGTTCAATAATTTTTTCTTAACAGACAGTGCTTTTGTGCTTCTTTTTAAGATATCATTTAATTCTCTAAATGTATTTCAGAAATGTCATTATTTTTCCTTTCACATTTAGATCTATAATCCACGTGAATTTATTTCTTCATGTACAATGTGAAATAGAAGTCATATTTATTTCTTACCCTGAATTTTCATGGCTGAACATATATTAAATTACAAATATTTTAAAATTGACTTACATAACTTTTTTATGGTTGAATGTGTGTTTAAATTATAGAAACGACAGGGCTAGTACAAATGAAGTGTTGAAAATCTGTAGGCTCTGCCAAAGTTGTTCTCAAGCTGAGGGGAGGGAGATCCAACACAGCATATTTAAAATTCATGATTTGAGAAAAATAAAGCCATTTTATTTAAACCTTCATGGGAATCCGTTTGCTAAATACATTAAATATTTTTAAAAAAATGGAAAAATAAGAGGAACTATGACTTCAGATGAAAACATTTCTATTGTGAGAAGCCTGTGAAATGTTCAGGTAGATTTGCTTTTGAAGTATGCTTCCTAGTGATACCTATGAAGGTTGAAGTTTTCATAAAAGGGTAGAGGCCATGAATTCATAGTGTTACAGGGAGCAGTAGTGATCTATGAATTTCTGTAATCACTTTAAGAAACTTTTAGTGACTGGGTCCGGTGGCTCATGCCTGTAATCCCAGTGCTTCAGAAGGCTGAGGTGGGTTGATCACCTGAGGTCTGGAGTTCAAGATCAGCCTGGCCAACATGGTGATGCCCTGTCTCTACTAAAAATACAAAAATTAGGCAGATGTGGTGGCGGGCACCAGTAATCCCAGCTACTCAAGAGGCTGAGCCAGGAGAATCGCTTGAATATTGGAGGTGGAAGTTGCAGTGAGCTGAGATCATACCACTGCACTCCAGCCTGGGTGACAGAGTAAGATTCCATCTCAAAAAAGAAAAAAACAGCAACAACCTTCAAAAAAGAAACTTTTGGTGATGGACCACCATGCCATTTTCTTCTATGTTGAACCACCAATCACTAAGCTATAGTACATCAACTATATAGGAGAAGCTCCCACTATGCTACACGAATCAATAATTTTATGTCCAAACGGCAGGATGTTTGCATTTTAAGACAACCATTTTGTAAACTTTGTCAGAACAAGTCTACATCCCAAATCATTAGTTGGATGACTTCATACTTACCACTTAAAGCAAATTCTTGCCCATGTGGAGACAGCTTTCTGGCCACCTATCTACTCTTTTTTCATCTGTCATGTGGTCCTCTTGGAGATAGCTATCTGCCGACTATTCGCTCTGTGTAGTCCCTCATACAAATCCAAAGACTAATCTTACTGAGTAGCCTCTCTTTCTCATCTTTCATAAAGGTCTTGACTTCATTAGTCCCTAGACATTTTACGTATTTTATTTTGTACACAAAAAATGCATGGTTTTGAATTGTTGTTCATAAAATACTTAGGTAGCAATTACTAAGTGTCATGTGCCATGTTCCAAGTGTTTCACAAATACGAACTTTGTCTATTCATAGCGATACGGGAGTTAAGAGGAAATTGCTTAGGCAGATAGAGTATGGAAGTCCTCCGTAAGGTTTTTCTTTTTAATGAAAAGCAGCCCCAAATCATTTTCTAACAAAAAGCAGCTGCAGACACAGACAAGCAAGCTGGACGCTGGCACCAGTGAATGCTGGTAGAAAATAACTACCTGAGACTAAAGCATCTTCAAAATGGAGGCTCCCTCTTCCCTTCCCTTTACCAGCCACATGAACAGTAAAGAGCAGAGAAGGTGGTGCTGGTCGAGTGGAGAGTCTATTTGCATAATAAGGTTAGGGTGGGATGGCCAGCCTTCCCGTAGCTGTGTAAATGTGACATCTGATTAAACCGATCTGTGGGCCCTATGTAAATCAGACGCCGCCTCCTCCAGCCTGCCTATGACATCTGCTGCAGTAGGCCTGCCTTCCTCTTTTCCTGATGTTTCTCTTTCTCTCTGGCAAGGGGCTGCTCTCCTCTCTCCTTTCGTCTTTCTATTAAATTTTCTGCTCCTTAATCCACCCACATGTGTCCCTGCCCTGAATTCTTTCTCAGCATGAGACAACAAACCACGGGTAATTCCCCAGACAACGCAGCCCTTCACTAGTAACTCTACAGAGTTGGTACTGTTATTACTCTCATTCTTACAGATGTGAAAACTGAGCCACAGGCAATATGTTACTTTACTATGGTCATGCAAGGCCATATCTCTATATTATCATTCACAATAATAGTAATAACTGAATCAAGAAGATATGAGGGACTGTGCCAGCAGTTTATGTATGTCATCTTATTTAATTCTCCAAAAACCTGAGAAAACAGGCTCAGAAAATTTAAGCAAATCATCGAAGATCACAAATTGTAGGGGGATTACTCTTAATTTGAACTCATTTCATCAAACTAAAAGCCCAAACTCTATCTACGACATTAATCTACCCTCCACTTCTCAGAGATGACATTGACATGTGAATAAAGAGAGCTGTGAGAGGTGATTATGCACCTAGAAAACAGGTTGCGATGAAATTCTCAAATAATAATTATTTGATAAAGGGACTGGATTCTTTTAGGCTCCACTTAAAACAGTTAAGCACCATGCAAGTACTTCACCTATAGTTCCTATGACAGTGGAGCATTTATATGATAAAATATGTTTTATTAAAACAGAAATTGAGTAGTAATGTTAAAGAGATACTAAAAGTATTTAACAACAAATCCTAATTTTTTTGCCCACCTGCTCTTGCATATCTTTGTAAACTTTTCTTCCACACGATCCATAAATGCACTGTACACATCACGCTGCCTTCTATATCTCTGAAGGAAGATGGTATGAAGGAAGTGAGTAAAAGCACACAGACATATATTAACTTTAAATGTTTATTTGTTAAAATTTGTATTTAAATTTACACTTTAAAATTTGCTATTTAATATACACTTTAAAAGTGTATATGTTATACAGATTCACATCTTGCTCTGCTTAGACATAAAGGGCTTACAAAACATCCTTACGTGACTAGGGCTGACTTTCAGCCAGGGTAAAAGTATGTACTCCAACATTGTTTTTGTGATTGTATCACAGAGCTGACTTTTCAGGCCTTCTCATGTGACTGTCATTCACTGAACTTCTGGTGATTCCCAATGACATAAGAGGAAATTTGGGAAAAATTTCTTCCAATATTTAAGCCTTCGTAAAACAAAAATAAAACTCTAAGCCCTCCACCCCCCAACCAAATGAATGGCCCCCTTTCATGAGTGAAGAGACAGAAAGAAACCTGAAAAGAAAGTTCAGCCTCTGATGGGAAGAAAAGGAGACATGGCTCATTATACCCTCCTCCCTTTGGAATTCAGACGCAACTCACCAGCATTAACATTATTAAAACAGAGACCTTAAGACTGACAAAACAGACAAACAACTCTGTAGCAATAAGATCTCCATTTCAACCTGACTCCAGTGTAGCATTACATGACAAATAGCAGGCTCTGAAGGAAATAAAAGTGTTTTACCCCCAAATGTACTATATTTTGGTATATTTCAAAATGGCCCTGCAAAGCTATTGCTCTTTTGCAGACAGTGTCATATCTTTTAAGGTCTCATAAGACCTTCATATCTATTGTCTCTGAAGCCTGCTACCCGGAGTCTTCGACTTCATGACAAGAACCTTGGCTTCCACAATCCCCACTTTTTACCTTAACTCAAGCTTACTTAACCCCTCTAGACAAAGCTAACTATTTCAACCAATTGCCAATCAGAGACTCTGAATCTGAGGTAGGAGGTGGGACTCAACTCCAGACCAGATGGAAGACTGGTTGAAACAGGGAAGAGGCATTGAAAGCATCTCTCCAGGAGACAGCCCCACCAGGGTCATGACCCTTGAGCATTGCCGTGACAGCATCCGGAAGGAACCACCACTTTTCTAGGAATTTCTGGATAACCCACCCCTTAATTTGCATGTAATTAAACATGGGTGTAAATATGACTGCATAAGTGCCCCTGAGCTGCTACATGGGGATTGTGCATATGGGGTATCTCTGCTCCTGCTGCTTATGCACACTGCCACTTCAATAAAAGATGCTGTCTAACAACACAGGCCTGCCCTTGAATTCTTTCTTGGATGAAGCCATGAACCTACCCAGCCTATGCCCCAGTTTTTGGGCTTGTCTGCCCTGCTTCACATGTACTTATGACCTGGAAGCCTCCAAGATTCAAGGTGTCCTGCATTCCCAGTCCCAACCAATATACCTTATATGTGTTGATTTATATCTTTGCCTATAACTTCTGTCTCCCTAAAATGTATAAAATCACACTGTAAACTAACCACCTTGGGCCAAATGTTCTCAGGACTTCCTGAGACTGTTACAGGTCATGATCATCAATTTGGCTCTGAAAAACCCTCTTCAACTATTTTTACAGTGTTTGGCTGTTTTCATCAACACCTTATTCCACTACACCAATTCTAATTTTAATAAGAAAAGAAAATCCGAAATTTTAAATAATCCACTATTTGCACTAAAAAAAAAAGCAGAGACTATCTGCTTTATTTTTAAAGTCATAAATATATTTTACATTGTAAGTAATAAAAAAACTCCTGCATTAAAGCAACTGTTGACAACATTGCTGGAAGCATTTCCCAACAGCTGCAGAGAAAGTCAAACTCACCGTAAATGAAGCCGATCTAACAGGCCATGGGGCTTTTGTCAAAATTAGTTTTGAATCCCAGGTGCATTCACGACCCTTGTGGGTGATAAATTTTCCTGTAGTGTTCTTCTGTTTATCGTCTTTCAGTAAATGGCATCCATGTACTAGAGATATGAAAACAAATGAAAAGCTTAGCAATGACACATGTCTTTGTTCGTGTTGTCTCTCAGATGTATCATTTTTGGAGATCAGAACCCAGAAGGGGTAAGTTGCTGAATAATTTATATATATAAATCTAAAAAACCCTTTTCTTATTTTTTCTGTCAGTTCTGCTGGAATTAATTTTGTTTTTCTTCAAACCCCACTTCCAATCCCATCATTTATTTCTGTGGATCTGTCTTTCTAAATTATCTCCTTTTGGATGGTATATTTCACATTTACATTCTACCTTAGGTTTTACTTAAAGTATTTTTAAGCTTGAGGGTCTTATAAAGTATCTTTGACATTTTCTATCAAAATGAGTTACACATAGCATGTACTAGGAAAGTTGACATGTTCCATTTTAATTACACACCTAGATGACACTTTCACAACACATGCTAAAATTTGCACATTATTTTAAAATAAATTATTGTAGTTTTACAGGTATGAAATTATTTGCCCCTTATTTTGAAAAAGAGGAAATTGTTACTGTGAACTCACTAGTTAGAGACAATCACTGTTAACATTTTGTTTTAATTTATATATAATTATAACATATAAATATTGCATTCAGATATTATCTATCCTAATAGAAATAAATGCTGAATAATACAAATTAACTCTGAATTAACACTTAACAAATGGCATCATAACAGTAATTATAGCATGCCTGTTTGTATGTTATTTCCATGTGCTTTTTAATACATTACTAAGTGCCTTTAGCACATTTAAGGCTCACATTAATTCTATGATGTAGATACAGTTGTTATCATCTGCACCTCCAGATGGGGAAACCAGTAGATAGACAGTTTAGGTGATTTAGGGCAGTAAAGCAAAGATTCAGAGTTGCACAGCATGGCTCCAGAGTTTATTCTCTTAAGCATTACAGTCCATTTATTCTCTATACATGACACATTGGGTCACAAAAATAATCTTTAACAATATATTAACAGTTGTGGTAGCAAAGTAAATGTATTGTTGCAAATAATTAAAAGGCATTTAAAAATTTACCATATTATTAAAGGTGATAATAAAATCCACCTGTTTAGTTAAAAGCTTTTACAGTTACTAATACTAATATATAATGCAGAGAGCTTATTTTTTGCAATATTCATAACATCATAACAGCTTACCTGTACTTAAGGATTGTGACTTAAATTTTAATCCAAAGGGGTCCTTTTCATAAGTTGTCTTAAAGTCGGGTAAACTAGGTTGGCACTAGATATGTGAAGAAAAGATTGCAATATTACCAATACATGCATTGTTTCTTATTGTAGTCGGAATTTGATTTTTCCTAATCGTAAATATTTCCTTGCCAAAATGTAATTTTGACACTTTTTTGTGGTATTCAAATGTAGTATTTAAAACTTGTTTATGAAAATTTAAAAGAATAATCTAAGATTTAAATAGTGTACAAACAGTTCATTTTGTGGTGGAGAGGAGTACTTCAATTACCCTTTTGTGAATAGATCAGAAATATTATCTTAAACAGTGTGGAATTAAGGGAGTCTGTTCAAAATTTGACAACTTAATCCTAAACTCAATCTTAATTTATGACACATAGAATTACATATTATTTTTCTGGAGCTGAACTTACTTCAGCAATGCAGCAAAAATATTGAACAAAGCTAAATAATTTGTCAAACTTGGAATAGAGTTATTATTGTTTTATATATATAAATATAAGCTATAAACAAAGTAGCATTTTTAGTGGTTTAAGTGAATCAATTTTAACTGAAATAGAATTTGTACACTCCATGAACTGATCAAATAAAACATCACAAAGGTCTCTACTCAAAAGCTAAGTAAATGTGGCATGAAACAGTGAGGGTACCAAGCAGAAGTTAAACAGGATTCTATTCTTAATGCGTCACCTGCCACAAGTATATAGAACAATATTAAAAGTTCCTAAGAAGGAGATTCCCTAATACAAGATTTTTGAGTCTTAACTGAATACAACACGAAATCAAGTTCCTTTCAAAAAGCCTTCATTGAGATTTAATTAGTGACAATACTGACATCTGGTGGTTACATAATTTATAACACTCTGCCTCCAATTGACTCATTTATAGAAACAAGTTAATTCTGCTAAAATAAAAATGTCCACCATTTCTTGAGTTTTATTTACTCAAATTTTGTAAGTCTGTGGTTAGCAAATTAATTATTTTTAAAATATATTTTGAGACAGAGTCTTGCTCTGTCGCCCAGGCTGGAGTGTAGTGGCGTGATTTCGACTCAGTGCAACCTCTGCCTCTGGGGTTCAAGTGATTCTCCTGCCTCAGCCTCTTAAGTAGCTGAGATTATAAGTGCATGCAACCATGCCTGGCTGCCTGGCTAATTTTTGTATTTTTAGTAGAGACAGAGTTTCACCATGTTGGTCAGGCTGGTCTCAAACTCCTGACCTCATGATTTGCCTGCCTCGACCTCCCAGAGTGCTGGGATTACTGGCATCAGCCACCGTGACTGGCTTACTAAAGTATTTAAATACACCAGTAACACTGAATATTTAAATGACCTTCCTCCTCTCCAAAAGGTAACATGTTATTTACTTAAATATTACTTTGATTACTAAATTATTTAATCAAAGCATTTAGCTGCCCTGAATACGTAAAGAGAGTTATTGACTATGGCTCCCTGGATTTTCCATATTTTCTCCTAAGCTCATAGAGTTGACATTCATTGAGTGCCTCAACATTTCAAATTCTGTTGTGCTTTGCATATGTTCATTCATAACTTAAAATAACCATATAAAATATGTAACCTTGTTAACCCACATTATAAATAATGAAAAAGGGTTAGTATCTTGTCCAAAGTTATTAGAAAGTAAAAGAACAGGGATATTCTGATCTCAGAAACCATGCTCTTAACTACTATTCTATACTTTCCCACTGGAATACATTTATTCTTTAATCTCACTATTTCTAGATCCTGTACTGTTAGTTCTAATGCCTCTTTGCCTAGCAAGAGTCATTTTATGTGCTAAATTAGAAAACTAAGAATGTAATATATTCACATTTTAGTGGAATCATATTTTGCATAAATCATATTTGACCTTATTTGCATCTCCATATTCTTCATCACCCTTTTAAATTCTAAATCTAATTACTGCCCATATATTATTTAAATTTTTAATCATCCAAAAGATTCATTAAAGTAATAGAGTATCCCTTCTTAACTATTTTCATTCATTCATTAATTTATACCACACATTTATTTTATTATTTCTAGATTATAAACTCCTGGCAACAGATATCTGTTATCCAATCAGATCTAAACCCAATCTTCTCTTGAAACCTAAGAAAGTCCACATCAGAGTTGGCCACTCGACCTGGCAGATAAAACCTCATCAGAAACAATCAGGTTCTTACTCTCTTTTCTATCATTTATTGCTATATCTTAATTGCATTGTTCTGTGAGAAAAAAAAAGATGCATCCTTATACACATTATATCACCTTTTTCCTATATGCAATAGTTTTTTCTCATTAAGAAATGAATTTAAAAAAATACATAGTTTCCCTTATCTATATTAAAGTGTTTTTATTCAAATTCTCTGTTGTACCTGTCGAAAGTCATGTGGTTTGGGATTGACATATACACCCTTTGGATATTGTCCACTCTTCACAAACATTAACTTTGCTTTCTGTGAATCCAGACGTGGAAATGTAGTTATAAATTTAGGAGTTATGGCCTTCTTAGGATGATGCCTTATGCTAGGCAAGTGAAGCATTATATCTGGAAAACTGCTTTTTTTCCTCCTTTTTTCTTCCTTAAGGGGTTTGGATGGTCTCTCTGGAATTCTCGAAGAGGTATACAGTTTGTAGCTAAAATCAGGTGGCTTTATTTCCCATACATTAACTTTCATTTTACATTGTCGAGGTTGCAGACCACTTTTTTTCCATGTGGAGTTGAGATCCTGTCGTGAAGAATATTGCAGCCTCTTTGCAATATCCCTATCTCTTGTACCTCTCTGAGACGCATGGTACATTATGTGGAGGGCGTTTTCACATGGAGGAATCTGCAACAGACATGGAAATAGGTGAAGCTTGTCACTACAGCAAAGGTGTATTCAACATTTTCGCTCCAAGCAAAGTTAATCTTCGAAAGATTTATGAAGCAGAAAAAAAGCTCAGAAATGTCAGGAAATGTGGATGGAGGAGAAGGAAAAAAGCATCATTGCTGCAAATATTTATTCAGAACCTTTGTCACAGCAGTCACTGCACTAGGGCTGGTAATTTTTAAAATGATTGACATAAAATCCATATCCTTGAGTAACTAAAATGCTAACTTAAAAGACAAACATAAAAACCAAAAATAAAACTTTGTTATAGGATAGCTATTACTAGTTTTATGAGAAGCAAGGAGATAGGTCAGCTAGCTTTATCAGGAAAATAGATGTGATGTCAAAAGCTGTCATTTGGACTGATCTTGAAAGGTAAGTAGAAACATTCCAGGTGGTAAAGGAAGGCAATAATGTTTCACCTAGAAATAGAAAGTATGTGAAATTCGTCATCACCTGCTTTTAGGATACCTGTAGCTGCCTAAACCATCGCTAGTATATTGTAATTACTGCTATTGAAACTTATAAATGAGAATCATGGATTTCCTTTTTGCTGACTAGCTAACCAGTGACAAGGAAATCATTATTATACTTCTCAGATTTAATGACATTATCAATATGTTATTGGATGATTCAATGAGTTCAAAGTCTCCTTGGAAAGGCTAATTACCAATTAAAATATATTTGGTGAAGTAGAAATAGTACAACAATGCTGGTTCCTGGGAAATAAGGACCTGAGGTGAGGATGCATTTCCTTGTCTTGTGATATAATTTCGTGTTGTTTCATTATAGCATCAGAATAGAGGGTCAAAATTCTACATGCTAGTTTTCGATATACTAAAGTTGTAAATGAAGGGAAACTACAGTGAATGAAAGGAAACTATGCTTCAGATATGTTGAAAATGTACATTTTCAAAAATTTATAACATTTTGCAATGATGGATTGTTTTCCAAATACTAATATACATATTTTAATTTTATAATGGGGTATGCTATACTGAAAGAAAAGCAAGAAGCATGTAAAAGGAGCATAGCTTCTCTGTGAGGAGACAGTGAAAAATGGTATAATGCGAAAAACTAGAGAAACTAGTTGGGGTTATATCATTAAAAGTCTTTTATGCCACACTAAGAAGTTTTAAACTCATCAAAGAGACAACAGGGAACAAATTAAAAAATTACAACAGGAAAATAGTTAGCAAGTTATTTGTATTTCAGAAAGACCACGTGGTATCAGTATGGAGGACAGCCTCATAATAAAAAGTGAAAGCTAAGGCAAAAAGAAAGAAAGAAAGAAAGAAAATCCCAAACCCAACGTAGCAACAATTTAGATGAGAGATAGTTAAAAACCTAAACAAAAATGTAGCATGAAGATGAGAAAGGGATATTGTTCTCATGAGGTACTTAGCAAATCCAGTATCTTGGGCTTTGTTTTAAATACATTGCAGTTTATTAACCAAAATAGGGAATAAAGGAGAAGAAACAGTTTATGGAAGAAGGTCAGGTAATGAGAAGATTTCAATCAAATGTAAATTTCATACTAATCATAGAAAAAAAAAACGACAGCAGATATACAAATGAGAAAGGAAAAGGCACAAAAAAATTAAAAAAAAACATACAAAACAACAAAAAAAAAAAAGAAAAGAAAAAGGAATCAAAATTGATCACTACAGAAAACAACCAAGCCATAAAGATAATAAGAAGGGAAGAAAGAAAGATAAACAAAACAACCAGAAAACAATTAACAAAGTTAGAGAGTATGACTTCAAGTGTCAGTAATAACTTTCAATGTAAACAAGTTAATTTTCCCAATTAAAAAATATAGACTGAATGAATTTTAAAAAGACTCAGTTACATGCTTCCTGCAAGAACCTCACTTCACCTGTAAAGACACACATAGACTGAACGTGAAGGGATGGAAAATGATATTGCAAGCAAATGGAAACCAAAAATAAGCAGAAGTAACTATGCTTATTTCAGATAAAATAGATTTTAAAAAATGTAAAAAGAGACAAAGAAGGCCATTGCATAATGATAAAGAAGTATATTAAGCAAGAGGATATAACAGTAGCAAATAGATATGCACCCAGCACTGGAGCACCCAAATATATAAAACAAATTTTTATTTTATCTAAAGGGAGAGATAGACAGCCATAAGATAATAGTAAGGGACCCCAAAACTCCACTTTTAGAAATGAACAGAACTTCTAGACAAAATCAGTGAAGAAGTATCAAAGTTAAACTGCACTCTAAAGCAGGCGTCCCCAAACTACGGCCCGGCCCATAGGCCGCATGCGGCCCCCTGAGACCATTTATCCGGCCCCCTGCCGCACTTCAGGAAGTGGCACCTCTTTCATTGGTGGTCAGTGAAGAGGAGCACAGTATGTGGCGGCCCTCCAATGGTCTGAGGGACAGTGAACTGGCCCCCTGTGTAAAAAGTTTGGGGATGCCTGCTCTAAAGCAAATAAACCTAACATTTACAGAACATTCCACCCAGCAGCTAACAGAATATATGTTCTTCTCATTTACAAATATAACTCTTTCCAGGATAGATCACATGTTAGGCCACAAAGCAAGTCTAAACAAATTTTTAAAAGATTGAAAACATATCAAGTATCTTTTCTGACTACAGTGGAATAAAACTAGAAATTAGTAACAGAAGGAACTTTGGAAACTATACAAATACCTGGAAATTAAGTAACACGCTCTTGAACAGCAAATGAGTCAAAGAAAAAATTAAATTTCTTGAACCAAATAAAAATGGAAATACAACCAAAACCTATAGGATACAGCAATAGCAGTTCTAAGAAGGAGGTTTACAGCAATAAACATCTTCATCAAGAAACTAGAACTATCTCAAATGTAGAGACAGTTTCAAGATGCTGACTAGAGGCATCAGGCACTTGCCTTCTCTGGACAGAAGAAACAAAACTTAACCAAATAGATAATCACACTTCCGATAGAACATCTAGTAGCGAACACTGGCGTTCAACAGAGATGTCACAGGAAATCCTTGAGACACAGAAGGAGAAGAAAGCAAATGGCCAGCTTGGCCAAGATTGTCTGGGAGCCCACAGGAGATCCTTATTGCAGAGAAAGAGTAAGTGGAAGACCCTCATTGGCTTACATCCTTACTGTGGACTGTTGCAATCCTAACCATGGGAGAGATCCTCTACTCACATTAGTTCTAAGGCTAGTGTGGATGTTGATCTGGAGACCCAGTGAGGGCACTGTACCAGAAAAAAATGTACTGGGTCTCACTCACCCTTGAGACCTAAGTGGCTGCCGCATAGCACCATTGTGAGAGCCTAGTCATCACCACTCTGGATCCTGCTCTGGGAACAATAGCTCTCGTATCTCCACATCCTAGGAACCTCTGTTTATATCCCCTGGTGTCCACCCAGAGGGCTACAGAGGCACAACGCTGGCTGAGCCCATAGATGCTTGGGTTCTCCGGTACTTTTGTCTCACAGAGTACTATTCCTTGGGAAAAAACAATGGTGCAGCACACCAACGAGGCAGCCACTGGGCACAAAGAAAGCCAAATTACAGAGCTTGAGAGCTTTCTGTTTGGGGCTTTGATAAGTGCCTTCACCTCTAACTGTGTCACGTACTGTGCTTGGGTTCACACTCAGAGAGTGGGATCTTTTCCCCAACCCCTGCACAGTGCTATAGCAGTTGCTGCCAGCAGGAGCCAAGGCAAGCAGGCCTGAGAGTTGTCTGACTGGGGCTGGAAGGAGTGACCACATCCCTGCTGGCAGTCACCTCTGTGCTTGGACTTAAGCATAGAGAATGGGATCTCTTTCCTCCTCACATTCTACTACTGCTCCAGCTGCTCTTGCTGCCCCCAGGGGCTGGATGGGCAAGAGAGGGCTGCTTGTCTGGGGCTGTGAGTTGCAACCATGCTCCCACTAGCAGTGTGGCCTGTGTTAAAGCTGGCTCACAGAGGGTGGGGTTCTTTCTCACGTCTGTTTGCTGCTGTTGCTGCTGCTGCCTCCAAGAGCAGGTAAGCCTGAGAGCTGCCTGTCTGGGCTGTGGGTGGTGACCCTGCTCCTCTGGCAGTATGGTTATGTGCTCTGGCTACCAACAGAGGGTGGGATCCTCATCTCCACTCTCTACAAAATGCTGAAGTCACTACTGCAGCAGGAAGCTGAAACAAGTGCAACCTAGAACTGGAGACTCCCTGTGCCAATCCTGCCCATACCAACAGCATAGTTTCTGTGCTCTAGGGCACATTCGAAAATCAGGCTCCTCACACTCACCACTGCAGTCACTGCTGCTGCCAGAGATTTCAAGCAGCTTCAGTCTCTGGGTTCACTTCCCAGAGCCTGAGCACTGCTTGTAGGAGACTGCTGATAGCAATCTACCCACACCAACAGCAGGGCCACTGTGCTTTCTAGCATGAGCCCTAAGATCAGGTATCCATACCAACCATCACATATTGTCTCAGCTTGCCTGCTACAGCCTATCCCCCTGCACACCATCAGGGGCCTGAGGACGGACACTCCAGATTGGCACCACACCGCTGAGCCTGAGCACACCACCCAAGGACTTGGTGATTCTTCTATCCATTCCAACACTTATACCATCTATTCACTCTCCCAAGGAACCTGAAGATGGGCCCACCCACCTTACTGCTAGCACTAAAAACACATACTCACATGTGCCATCTAGGAGCTTGGGGAGGGATCTGCCCAGCCAGTCCCAGCCACTGCCAACACCAGTATGCACTGCTCAGGAATAAGAGGGTCATCTTGCCACTGCTACTGTCATGGCCCACACCATGCTGTCTGCACAGGGGCCTAAAAACCTGTCCACCAACCTGGCCCACCACTGCCATTACCACCATCTGGGCAAGATACGTGGAGGCCTGATAAATGGCCCAACTGGACAACTAACACCAGCACCAGCATATACCACCCACCTCCAGGGGGCTAAAGGACAGGTACACCTAGA